GAGCCCAGGCGGGCCGCGGCAAGCGCCCGGCTGCTCCGACCCCCGCCGCCGCGCCCTCCCCGCCGCCGCGCCCCCGCTCGGCCCGCTCCCAACGGAAAGTTGGGCTGCGGCGGGCGGCGTTTGGAAACCGCGAGCGATCGGGCAGGAGAGCGGCTGGGGGGGGCGCCTAGGGCACCGGGAGGCGCGCCGCGAGGGGCCAACTTCGCCCGGGAACCCGCGCCGCCGGCCCCGAGCCTGGAGCCCCCGAGCGGGCTCGCGGTGGTTCTTCCCGTCCCTCGGCCTCCCCCCCGCCGATTCGAGACGCGGACCTTGGTCCCGGCGGCTCCGCGGCGGTGACACGAGCCCGCGCCGCCGCCTCAGCCCCCGCCGCCTCCTCAGCCCCGCCACCGCCGCCGCCGCCTTTCCCGCACTATGGAGTTCTCGGAGAGGAAAAGAAGCAGGAAATCCCAGAGCTTCAAACTGGTGAGCCAAGGTAAGCGGCCGGCCGCTGGCGGCGGGAGGCAGCGCCGCACTCCGCGCACTCGGCCCCGCGCGCCTGGCCGCCCGCGGGGTCCACGCCGGGGGCGCGCCCGCCGGACCCCCTTCCCCACCGGAGCCGGGGCCGGCGGCCGCTCCCGCTCGCTCCAGGGAAAGTTGTGCGGGGAAAGGTTGGGTGTTATTTAACGTCCACAAGTCGGAGGGCATGTCAGGAAATTAGCAAACAATGACACCGGGGGGCCGAGCCCTCCCGGGGGGTGCCGCGGGGCCGCGCTGGGGCGGCGAGGCTGCCCAGGCCGAGCGCGGACACGCCGACCGGGGATTTGCTGTTTTTGTTTTGCTTTTCCCCCAAAGAGAAAGGGGTACAAAATGATCGCTGTTCTTAAGGAGAAAGAAGCTCATGAGGTGTCCAGGCTCCAAGCGGAATGTTGACATCTAACATCTTTTCGAGCTGGCAGATTTAGGTTGGAAAGGTGTTTTAGACTAGATCACATACCAGTGTGATGAGTCTCCTTAAAATCAAATAACCCAGCGAGTTCCTGACCATGGAACAGGTGTATGCCACACTTGGGCTTTCCTTTTGTCAAGGAAGGGGAAAGTTGAATCCAGTCTTGTCTGTGCCCAGTTACTTGTTAAAGTCTGTCTTGCTGATTTGACTCTTTAAAAAATGATGAGAACTAAAGATAAGAGCAGAGGTGAAAACATGTGAAATCGCATTGTGTCACTTTAAATTGGAGGCAGGTGGCTTTTTTTTTTTTTTTCCATTGTAATGTTACAAGTCCTAATATTGAGTTTAGACCCACCCTGTTTAAATACCTTTGAATCAACTTGAGGTCAAAGCCAAGCCACAGAACCTGTCCACTTTTCCTGGATTGTTTTATCTAACCTTGGCATCAGAGTAAAGAGCCACACAGTTGTTTCAACAACCTGCAGAAGTCACAAGTAAACTGATGGAAATTGGAGGACAATTGCAAGTCATCAAGTTTTCCCAACTAATATAAACTAACTGAGATGTGGATTCAATAAAGCCTGCTTTGAGTTAGTCTGCTAATGGTTTAATTATAGACATTTTGAGGATCTGCTAATCTCTGTTTCCCCTAATTTAGTTTGGGCACTGTTATATGAAAGAGGCCTGTAATAGTTTATGTATGCAAATGTTTGGCTCTTCTCTCTTTCTTTGTAAATTTTTTTTCCATAGGAGTGTTGATTACTCAGTTATTTGTACTTTAAAGTCTCTCCCTGTAACTGCCCTGTTAGTGCTTTTTGATTCATTCAGGAATGTAGGCTGCTTTCTTATTTATGACCTCAGGGAGCATACCACTTTATCTTAAAAGTAAGAGTAGCTTTATCGACATTGTCCTGTGACATCTAAAGCTAAAAAAATGAAATAGATGTTAAGAAAAAAACCTCTAGTAATATTCATAGGTGATGCTGCTTTGTAAGAAGCAGAAGATTGCCAGAGAACAGTAGCCTCTAAAGAGAGAAGCTTATAAAAAATATTACATTATGTTTTTAGACATTAATTGACATAGCAAGTTTTTCTTTTTTCTTTCTTTCTTTTTTTTTTTTTTGAATCGTGGGTCTGAGTCTTCTCTTTGCTTTGCAGGTGCATTTTTTAGAAAATAAGCAATTGCACATTAAATAAGGTGCCATAGCTGAATGAGAAAGATCCACTTGTGTGAAAGATGAAAATCTTGCTTCCTTTCAAATTATACTGTACTTGAAGCAACAAATTACTATTTTTCATGTGTGCTTGTGTCTAAGCAGCTTGAAGGCTGAGATTTTCTGGGTAAACTGAGAGTGCCAGGTAACTAAAGCATACTGTTGATATGCTCATAAAAATGGGTTGTGGAGATAAATTTGGAAACCTCCTCTGGCCTATGATTTGGCAAGATTTTTCTTTTCCTTATAAATATACTTGCTGTCTCAAAAGAAAAGAAACCTAATAATTGACATCGGTGCACAGAATTTACCATGTAACCAAGCCTAGCTATTTTTCTAAAGTCAAAGTAATCTGTCAAGTTTGTGGACTTCAGAGTAAAAAAAGTTTTAGGGATTATATTTACTACAAATTCTGTGATTAGTGAGTTCTCAAAAACATGTTTATAAATTATATCATAGAGAATGAGAGTCTAGACTTCATTGCTTATTCCTATCTTGAGGTCAATATAATTCTAATTTTTTATTGTTTTCTCACACCAGATTATCACCAGGAGGTTTATAAGATCTCAGAATTCAGCAACGATGTTAATGGGGAGGCCAAAGAGACACAACCCATTTTTTTAGGTAGGTTCCTATGTCAATTAATTTCTTAGTAAAACAGCGTGGCCATTTGCAATTAGGGGGAAAAAGAGATTGTGCGAGAACGGGAAATGTCTGCCATTGCTTAATGTATGACATTCTTTTCAAGACCTTTTATTTTACAGATTGCCAATATATCCCTTATTAACATTGCTAAAAGTTGTAATTTCAGACATAAATGTTTATTAGTGTCTACACACAGTGCTAATTATCACTCACTCACAGAGCCAGATGCTGACCATGCAATTTTGTCGCTCTATGCTCACCCCATTTACATTGCATATTCGCTGGCATGCTTCACTGGCAATAGTTTGTGTAATTGGGGTATTACATCTTTGACATCTGGATAACAGAAATTCAATTTCCAGGAAGCTGCTATTTGTTTGGTTTTGCTTCTGCCTTGGGTGGGATAGAGGATTAATGTGCTGTCTTATTATAATGTCCCTTCACCTCTGTGGCCTGGTTGCTAATCCTGCCATGACAAAATTAAATTAAATCTACAGTCAAAAAGCGTAAGGAAAATAAAAGTGTGATTGTCTGCCTAACCACTTCTTGATAGTGCTAGTTATCAGTGAGTATCTGCTCGTTTTCCTGGCTTTGTGTTCTTTTCTTACCAACATTTCTGGTCAAGGAGAATGGCTCTGCCTTTCTCCTACCATCCTAGTTCCTGGCTAAACTCAGGGATAAGCAGAGCAAACGCAGAGTCTCTGAGACCATCCAGCAAGTATTGTTGCTCCACATATGAGTATGTAGCCAAAAGTGTCACCACTTCATCCATGTGTAGTTTTGGTACAAATACTGTACACAAAGGACTATGGATATGCAGTTTGTTACTTGCAGATGTGAACCAAAAATGACTTAGGATTTTTTCCCTAAGAGTAAAGTGCCCATAAAGACAGAAAAGACTGTGAATGGTGGCATTTGGCTTCAGTTTTGCCCATCTGGAATATTCTATAACCCCAAGTAACAGGGTGTAAGCTAGGTACTGCACATCCAGGAAGCAAGCCTGAGAGAAAGTCAGGGCAAGACTGATGGAGAGCAAGGACCAGAACTGCCTTTTGGCTGGGTTCTTCAGGTAGCAGGGTCCCTGCTCAGACCAGTGAGATAAGTCCTTTAAATTGAAACATCATGACAGCTGGAGGGTATGGTGTGCTCTAATCAGGATCTCTGTTTTACTTTGAGGGAGAGGAAGAGTGTGTTGCAAAGGGCTTAGAAGAGGCAAATAGATACTTAGTGAAATAGGAGAGGAAACATCAGTATTTCTTACTGAACCATCATTGAAGATTCGTGGATCTCTCCTTTGAGGCCAGCACTGCTCATAGCACCTGTTGACTCTTGAGAGAACTAAAACCCAAAAGGCTTTCAAATGAACTGCTGTGGCCCAGAAAGAGTGAGTCTTGGATTGTACACTTTGCCGTTCCCTTATGTGGTCAGTTGAATTCTATATTTAAGTACCACTGGATTTAGTTTTTGAAATTAAAAAAATGTGTTTTCTAGTAGAAAATTTACATTTATAATATAAATAGAACTTCATGTCCTTGATTTAGTTCTTCAATGAAGGTCTCCCTACAACCCCCTTTCTGCTGTGTGCTTAAAAAGTAGTTTGGGTGCTGGAGTAAGTTGAGAACACAAAAGAGGGAAGATTGAAGAACAGGAGGATTTCTCAGGATTCAGAGTGCTCAGGATTCAGTAAAATGTGGATTGAAGGTGGCCGACATAGCTGCTTTCCTTTTTCCTAGTTTGAGTTGAGGAAGTATGAGAATGCCAATAAATAACAGCCTGGGGATGGACTTTCAAAGTGGTTGGTCAAGGGGGGCCTTTGACATCAAGGGACAAAAAAATTCAGCAGCCCAAGAGTGTGCTGTAGGTTATTTCTCAATCTTTTGCTTTTCTGGGGAAAGTCATATATGGTTCCCAAAGAAAATTTGTCATTTGAGATCTTCAGGATAAATTTTGAAAAAGAGTAGAAGTGATTATACAAACATGAATTTTACAGCAGTTGGAAATAGTCACTGATAACATCTGAAATTAGAAATTTTGTCATTGACAGCATGAAAGTTTGTGGATACTCTCCTCAAAATAGATTTAAGTCAGGTTTATCTTGTAAATTGCAAGGCTACTTTTAATATTACTTATGATATGAAGTTTATGACATCTTTGAGAGCTAGAGACCAAAATTCCAGAACTGTTTCATCTGTAGGAAAGTGCCAACACATGGCCTCCATGATGTCATATAGGACTTTCTGCTTTCAAATGTATGTGTTATCTTTGACACTCAGTGTCTAAGATTAAAGTTCGTGTCCCAGGGGAAAAGAGAGTGCTCCAGAATTTAGCAGAGGTTCCCACATCAAATCTGTTTCTCTGGAACATTTTTAGACTGTGAACTAAGGTAGTGCATTCAACATGTCAGGTAGCTCAAGAGTGTGAATGGCTTCAGTGCTTTGGGAATTACTCACACATTTTTAATTTGATAATAGGGTCAGAAGAGGTAACTTTACCCCATGGACATTGACTTTCTCAAGCTGGTTTGAGGGAACTACAGTAAAGATTTGAGCACTGTTTGGGGAAAAACAATTCATTTCACCAATTGTGTTTTTGTGAGAAAATACTATGAACCCAACACTTTTCTGGAATGGGAATGGGGTCAGAATGGATAGAATAGGATCCCTGCTCTCAATGACTAAAATACAGTTGACGGGGGGCAGGCAGGACAAATTCAGGAAGCAGTTAGCAATATGTACCAGCTACAACAGCTGCAATTTGAGCTGGGTGCACAAGGCTTTGAGTTGAGCACTTTAAGTGAATTATTCACTTCTCACAGCAAATCTGTAGCAGTCATCATCATTCCTGTTTTGAAGATAAAGCTTAGAGACATTAAGGTAGCCTGACAAAGGTCTCTGTACAGGATTGTTACAGGTAGGGTCCCAATGCAGGTCTTCCTGAGCTTTGAACATCCCACCATACCACCTCTCTGGGTGAATATAATTAATTGACTATTGTGAATGATTAGGGCAAGGAGCAAAACAGAGTTGGAAGGGGACAGTGCAGACTAGACCTTGAACTATGGGAAAGATTTGGATAAGCAGAAGATTCCCGGTGGGAAAAGTGATATGAGCCAAGACAGAATGATAAGCATCATTCTAATTAGGTGGTAAAATGTTTTACCTTATAGTTTAGAAAGCACTTTCATATCTGTTACCTCTTAGGATTTTTACAGTTTACCCTTGAGGTGGTCAGAGTGGTTATTATTGTTATTCCCATAATAATGGAAACTGAAGCTTAGAGTGAAGTGATTTGTTCATAAGTAACAGAATCTAGAGTAAACTCAGGCTGCCTATCCAAATTTCCCCTCTACCATGTTGAGGCAGGCAAATTTACAGATCATTGAGACACTTTAGCTGGTAAGTAGATACTTCTTAAAAGTTAAATTAGGCAATTAATTTATTATTCATAACAATAATATAAATGTTAAATGAAGTCTCTTTTGTATGTTGGATTTTAAGTTGGATTTACTATTATATTGCATAAATTTGAAATGTTTTATTTTTCAGGTATTCAAATATCATTTATTTATTTATTCATTCATTCAACAAACATTTATTGAGCTCCAATTACATATATACCAAGTCTGTTCTAGTTGTTCTTTTTAATATTCTATTCAGTTATACAGCTTTCAGTGGATGAAGCACATGGTGTGGTATCCATGCCAATTGAGCAGGGTTGAGATCTCTGAATTGTTAAATCTCTTTTCTGTCACTTTCTTTATGATGGCTGCTCCACTAGGGTCCTCAGAATCTCCCCAAAGAGGATTCACTCAGAAAATTCCCACACACCTTTACAAGTTATGAAGTTTGCCCTTAATGGCAGGTAATGTGTATCCCTGGAGAATGGGGAACAGCCATGTGTGGAACATGGGCACTCTTCACCTAGGGTCTGGGGGCCTGCGGCCCACCTCAGTTCTTGTCTGACCTCAAAGGGCTAGAGCTGGGACTCTCCTCCCAAGAGGCATGCTGCCTCATCTGTGATAGGAGTAAACAGGTAGGACCCAACCTTGGATAAAGTGAAGGGTCAAGGGGGCCAAGAGAAGGAAAAAGAAGAACCCTTGAAATCCCATCCTTTGGAAACCAGAGTGTTTCACCTCTGTTCCTCTTCTCTGGAGCTCCATCCTCATCACCATGGCCTGATGTGTCCTATGTCTCTCTCCTTTTTCATGTTAGTTCTCCCCCTTTTCGATGGTGGACTGAAAGGGACAAAAAACTAGGAATGTCTCTTAGGGTTAGGAGTGTGGCCAAGGTCAGTGTCATTTATCAATAGTTTGCTGCATGCTAAGAACTTTGTAAATGTCATTCCGTTAATTGTCCTGAGAAAGATATTGTCATTCCCTTTGATAGATGGAAAATTTGAGTTCCCTAAGTTGCTTAGTAGCAAAGCCATGAATCTTTCTCTCTAAAACCATGTCCTTGACCACATGACACGCTTTGTTCAGTGCACTCCCATGTGGAACCCCCAGCATGTACAGTGGCTGCAAGGGGAACAGCTGTTCCAGGAAGGGCTGAAGAAGGCTGGGGATGTGCCTCAGTGGTAGAATGCTTGCCTAGCATGTGTGAGGCCCTGGATTCAAGTCCTATCACCACCAATAAAGAAGAAGAGGAAGGAAGGATGGAAGGACAGATGGACTGAGAGACTTACATACATCCCACATTCCTGTGCAGGCCTCTGCAGCTTGTTAGAGTGTCCTGAGTCAACTGTTTAAAAACCCCCAATCTTGATGGTTTCCAAGATTGCATACAGTACCAAAAATGTCTTATTATACTATATGTCCAAAAAATGGCTTCAAAAACAACCAGCAAAGTTTAGAGAGTGTCTTAGAAAACTTGAGTACCAATGGCTTCTTTAAATGTATGTGTGAATATAGATAGGTTTTGGAAGACATGGATATGGATTTTATCACTCTTACCTATTACTTGTTGCCTAAAGTTTGGGAG